GGTAAGGGTGTGAAACTTCATCATCTCTTTAATGTGTATGATTGTATGTGTATGTGTGTGGATTTTGTAGAGTTTCTACTCTTTTTCCACTTAGGTTAGAAGTTGGTTTTGTGAGTAGAATGAGGTTTTAATCGGTTAGAAATCGGATTAGACGATGTAGTTTAGTCGGGTGATGGTTGGGTTGTGCTAATGTGACTGGTTTGGATTTAATCGGTCGGTTGTGTGGAGTTTGGGCTTTGAGACAGCCATGGAAGTTCTGTCTTCGCAAGTTCGCCGAAGCTTCGCCAGGCGAAGCCCAGCGAGCTGTAGCGAAGCAAGTCAGAAGCTAATACCCTGTATTCGCTGGCAAGTTCGCCAGGCGAGGTGAGTTGGCGAAGGTTCGCCAGGCGAGTGGGTAGCGAGCCTCAGCGAGTAATTCCAGAATTACTCCCAGTGGACTTCGCTGGGGAGTTCGCCAGGCGAAGGCCAGCGAGCATTCGCTGCGTGGCTTCGCCAGGCGAAGGTTGGCGAACCTGGCAGTGTTATTTGTTTTGCTGTTTGTTCATGGCATGATGTTTGATTGATTCAATTATGATTAATGCCTATATGAATGATTGATGTGTGAACTGTTTCAACATGTTGTGCTGTGGGTGGCCGAAAGGCGTGAATCCTAGATTGTAGAGTAAATGATAAATCTTGAATATTTGATAATCTTGTGTATTTGCTCGAATTGAATAGAAATGCATTGATAGGCTGATATGGGTGTAAACCATGGGTGGAATGGTGTATGATGTGAATGCATGATAGATATATGCTATGTATATGATAAATGCAATGAATATGTTTGTGAGCATAGTATGCATTTTTGTGTCGATTGATCCCTCGGAGGATTTGCAGAACCTCGTATGATACGATGGTTATATTTGATTCCTTGGAGAATCGGTTGCATTGTGTGATTCCTTGGAGAATCGGTTGCATTGTGTGATTCCTCGGAGAATCGGTCATAACATGTAATCCCGTGGAGGATTGGCTAGAGTATTTGATTCCGTGGAGAATCTGCTGAGTACTTGATCCCGTGGAGGATCTGCTGAATATTCGATTCCGTGGAGAATCTGATGAATATTTGATTCCGTGGAGAATCTGCTGAGTACTTGATCCCGTGGAGGGTCTGCTGAATACTCGATTCCTTAGGGAATTTGTTGAATGAGTCGGTACCGCATTTGCATCTGCATAGAGTCGTGTGTCGGTCTCTATGAGTTGCATGAGTCATCTGTGTATGATGCATTGGTTGTGTGAATATAACTGTGTATGTCATATGTGATTGTTTGGAGGAAAATATAGTGAATGTTCATGTGTATGTGTAGAGACATGATTATTTGTATATGCTTAATGTGGTGAGAACATAATTTGAGTATAACTTGTACAAATGTGAGTATATGTATATATACAATTTTATGCATTAACCGTTATGATGTTGTTTCTCACCCTTCTGCTGTTTTATGATGCTCTATGAGGCATTGCAGAGTAGGAAGCTGGAGGTTCTTTTTGTGAAGCGATGTCTTCATTCTTTTTGGTCAATGGCTCTGATATGTAACATCTGGGTAGTTAGGAAGCCTTTGACTCTTTTGGAGTTACATTTGTTTTGATTCTTTTGTGATACATATGTGTATGTATCTGCTGTGGTTATGTTGTAAAGCATGAATTAACTGATGGTTGTATATACTTTTATGAATGAGATCGATTCAATATTTGGATGTTTCCGCTTTATTCTAAATATTGAGATGTGGGTTACCCATTGTTGCATATCTATTTTGAGCAGGTATCGTATGTGTTTAATTTCATGATAATGTGATGCGCCTCTTATATACCATGTTTTAATTAAACTCTGATGAAATAAATTTTCTAAGTGCCTAATTGATTTATCTAATTAATTTGGGGGTATAGAAAGGGGGTGTTACAGGTTGAACCTTTTAATACTCAAATGTTTTATGATCCATACATGAAAGTTATTCTTACATTTACATTTTCTTATTTACATGATGATCTTAGACTCCTACAAAATCCAAATCAAAAGATGATAGAATTATTGTGTGGGATACCGATTCAGCTGCATCAAAGAAACAGGTACTACTACAGTTACATGATTATCTTATTATACATTAATTACTGAACTTATATATGACTTTTAGGTTCATGATCAGCAGTCGCAACAAGTCAGCAAGGGTAAGATGCCTGAAACTTCCAAGGTGCCCAGAAAAGCATTTGTTCCTCGATTTAGGATGTGCCTTGAAACATATGCAGGAACATCAGATGTGCCTGAAGGTGGCATCCGTCAAATACATATGGACGGAGGTATTTTCGGTTTTGAATATCCCGAAACAATTGCTAAGGAGGATTTTGACCAGGTTTTCAACCATTCTGAATTGGGCGTTGGTGTTATGCATTCATACATCAGGTACTTCGATCCATTTTAATTAAACAATTGAACATTTTAAAATTCAAGCTATTTAATATTACTATAAATTATGGAAGTTATCTATCATCTATTTACATTTGCCTAGCGGTAAAGGTATAAGACGTGGTAAAAATCCTTGGGTTTAATTCCTCACAAAAACAAATTTAGGCTTTTTCTAATATTATCAAATCTAAATTGGTTAAAAGTAGAATTGAAGAAAAAAAATAAAAAATAATTTAGTATTTAAAAAATGAAAAATAAAAAATAAAATCTAATTTGGTAGTTGTTGATCGGAAGTTTCGACAAGAGAAGTGGCAACACAACAGTTTGTCGACAGGCTCAATAGTCTGTTGAGGAGGAAGGTCGACATCGACAGGCAGAAGATTGTGGGGCCGACCCTTGGTGGCGTCAGTCGACTGAGACAGCTAAAGGCCATGCAAAAGGACGTATGTTTGAGCGGGAAATGAATTTGAAATTCAAAGATATGAGAAGTTATAGAAGTAGTGGGCGACATGTGGCATCATTAAATTCAACGTGATGGTTGTTTATTTTCTCTGTTTAAAGCAATGTGTGTTTTCGTAACAAATGCGCTTTTTGGAAGATTGTAAGAAAAACACTTCGAGTACCAAAGCGTTACGAGAAAAGAGTTTTTCATTCCTACAAGATGTACGACTGCGTCACTTTTTCCCTTCTTATAAGCAGTTTATGTTATTAATTCTAAATGTTTTTTTGCCTTGTTGTTTTATTTTCAATCTTTTTACATAAGTTATTTCTCATTCCTTTGCACACTTTTCTAAGTTTCCAGTCTCACTTACAACGAATTCTCAGTCTATTGCAAATAGATTCAAATAAACTCCATACCATCATTCTTCTCATACACCCCAAACCAAGTGTTCTGGGACTCGTTTGACCGGTCCCGCAACACGAAAATTGCGTGCGAACAAATTGGCACACCCGATGGGACCTGAAGGGTTTGAGTGCACGCATTTGCGTCGTGGTAAGATGATGATGCCACGTCCAAAAGAGCTACACGATCGCCTACCGTATCGTTGAAAATTATTTGGTTACGCGTCCACCAAATGCACCAATAAGTTGTGAACTAAATCGAGCAAGCGGAAGAGTTCGAACAAGTTGAGGACAATCGAAGGAACCAAGCTAGTAGATGCTCACCACAATTTGCCTCAACGAAACCATCAATTCTTAACGAAGTCCCAATTTTCTCCCAAATAAACTTGATCTATAGACACCTAATGAATAAATGGTGTAAATCTTCAGTGGTATTAAAGCAGAAAACACACTAATTCATGAAAGTTTAAAATATTGATTGCTAGTTTTTTCAAGCATCATTAAAAGAATTAGAATGAAAAAAATACTAAAGTAAATAAAATATAAAGGAATAATATTTAAGAAAATTGTGAAAACAAGCAAACAAGACTAATAAACAAAATTATAATATTTTATTTAGTTAAAAATCTTAACAAAAATCTTGAAAAAAGAATAACCATCAAATCCCTCTATTCAATGAATATTAAAATAATGATAAAAAATAATCTAAAAATAAATTCATATTTTAAATCTTTTTTCTTAAATGATGAAGATTTTGGTTCCATAAAAAATAACGCAAAAATTGAAAAGGAGATAAATAAAAAAAGTTTTTAAAAATAATTTAAAAAGAATTAAGATTAAGTAAAAAATTGAAAAGAAAAAATTAAAATAAATAAAATGAATACATTATTTCTAGCATATTATTAATTTTTTTAAAAAGATAGAACATGAATATATTTCCATTTTTCAAAATGAAATGAAAAGACTTTCCAAAAGAAATAAAAAACGAAAACAAAAGAAATAACATAAAGAAAAGGTAATAACCTGTTCCTATATATACTAGGGCAGTACAAATCCAAGAACATATCTCACAAAAAAACCATCCATCAAAATAGTCAATTTTTTATTTTCAAATTGACAATTACATCATAAAATTTGTCAAGTTTTAACCGTAATGAGTATAATTTTTAATTGAAATAGATCGCATTGCACGGTAACACTTCAATCATAAGCAGCTTCAAAATACTTTGAAAATAACCAAACATTATATGAATATTATTTAATAAATATTAAATATCATAAAATTATATACTTATAAATAATTGATAAATTTGATACCAAAATTTTACAATATGATCTTCTTACAAATGGCCATGAATTATTTACTGATAGGTTAAATCTTAAAAATATCTAAAATTTATAGAGAAAGTATGTGTAGCGATGGGATTAATTGATTGATATAGAATAAACATAAAGATATTTCATATACATGCATTTGTTTTAAAATCTCATAAATTCATTCAGATAGATTTTAGGAAATCTTATTAATTTAAAATACAGCTCCCTATTGGTCAAAAAGGATAAAAAAAACAGTTTCCTATTTAGTAGCAAAAAAAAAAGTAAAAGTAAGACCATGTTCCTATAAATACTAGGGTTGTACAAGTATAAATAAACGTCAGAGAACTTGTTGTGTCTTTGTATCAAACTCATCTCATCATCCTGTTCTCCGCTGCTTATTGAAATGGCTAGTTGGAGAAAAAATCAAGGGATCAGTGATCGTCAAGTTGGTCACCGGAGATCCTCATCTTATTACGGAAAACCACCTTTGGGTAAAGTGTCTTTTTATTTTCTCTTTCTTTTTTTCTTTCTTTTGGTTTTGTTCTTTCTTTTTTATTCTGTTTAATTTTTTTTGGTTCACAGGTAATAGGTTTTCAACAGTTCCTTCATGGGAAAATAAGTTTTGTGCTACGGTAGGTCAAGTTCCATGGCGAAGGTTTTTAGAAGGCAAGAGGTACATGGAATCGCATTCCGATGTGATGAAGTGGGATGACTCTGCTGTCAAACATGCTTTTCACGATGCAAAGAACCGGTTTTGGGCTGAGATTAACGGCTATCCCTGCGACATTCCGTTGCCTGATCCAGACATGTACATCGACGAAGTAGATTGGGATGCAAGTTTCGATCCAGAACTCTATCTGGATTTGGATAGAGAACTAGAGGCCACACGCATTATGATGGAAAAGAGCGAGCAGGAGAGTGAGATCGTCGACATTCCTCTCAATCATGTATGGGAAATCATACCTACTGGATGGGGGGATGTAGACGAAGAAGAAACAAAGCCTCAGGAACCAAATTTTGCTGCCGAGGGATGGGGATCAAGCAACCCTGAAAATAATGATACCAACTCTTGGGAACAGAATAATTCTCAAAGGTGGATTCCACAGGAGCAAAATAAGTATCAAGCAAGAAATGGCTGGAACATAAATGGGGGAGGATATAACGGAAGGAGAGAGAAGAATCATGGATATCAGCATTGTAATAATGATTATAAGATGAATCGTGGAAGAGGAGGAGGAAGAGGGGGAGGAAGAGGAGGAAAGAGGGGAAATTATAGCTATGCAACCAAGGTTTTATGAAGCCGCTAAAAGCTCGGTTTTGTTAAAGTAGTTGAGAATATAGGTTTTGTTATCGAGCTGTTATAGTATTATAACAGTTTAAATATGTGTCTCATATATTGAATAAATGCAATGATTTCATTGGAGCACTATAATTCAGATTTAAAATTATAAAAAAAAATAAATAAAATAAATAAAAAAATTTGTTTCCGGAAGGAATCAAACCCAGAACTCTTAGCAGTTACTTCACCACTAGAGTAGTCATTTTTTTTATTTTAATATTCCTAATGATAAATACTTAATTAATAATTCAAAATAGATATTACTTTATTCACTTATTTACTTATGTCTAATAGCATAAATAAATATTTACTAATTTCAAATTAAGTAATAATCAGTTAATTTAATAGTAATTTAATTAATTCAAATTAAATAGCCAATTAACTTTTAAAGTATTTAAGTAATTCAAATTAAATAATAATCAATTAATTTAATAGTAATTCAATTATATATTAATCAAAAAAATTCTATTTGATTAACTATATTTTGAGGTTACATTTTATTAATTTTATTTTTAAATATTTGTATATTTTTAGATTTTTAAATTTTTAATCAACTTATTAATTTAAATTTGAATAATATTTCTAAACATGAATAGTTAATTTAATAATTCAGAATAGATATTTTTTATTTAATTATTTTAAATAACACACAAATAAATATTTACTTATTTCAACTAATATTTACTTGTATATTATTTAAAATAAGTAAATATTTATTTTTTTCTATTTAAATTCAAGCTATTTAATATTACTATAAATTATGGAAGTTATCTATCATCTATTTACATTTGCCTAGCGGTAAAGGTATAAGACGTGGTAAAAATCCTTCGGTTTAATTCCTCACAAAAACAAATTTAGGCTTTTTCTAATATTATCAAATCTAAATTGGTTAAAAGTAGAATTGAAGGAAAAAATAATAATTTAGTATTTAAAAAATAAAAAATAAAAAATAAAATCTAATTTGGTAGTTGTTGATCGGAAGTTTCAAAACGCAGCAGTTTGTCGACAGGCTCAATAGTCCGTTGAGGAGGAAGGTCGACATCGACAGGCAGAAGATTGCGGGGTCGACCCCTGGTGGCGTCAGTCGACTGAGACAGCTAAAGGTCATGCAAAAGGACGTATGTTTGAGCGGGAAATGAATTTGACATTCAAAGATATGAGAAGTTATAGAAGTAGTGGATGACATGTAGCATCATCAGATTCAACGTGACGGTTTTTTATTTTCTCTATTTAAAGCAATGTGTGTTTTCATAACAAAGGCGCTTTTTGGAAGATTGTAAGAAAAACACTTCGAGTACCAAAGCATTACGAGAAAATAGTTTTTCATTCCTATAAGATGTACAACCACATCACTTTTTCCCTTCTTATAAGCAGTTTATGTTATTAATTCCAAATGTGTCTTTGCCTTGTTGTTTTATTTTCAATCTTTTTACATAAGTTATTTCTCATTCCTTTGCACACTTTTCTAAGTTTTCAGTCTCACTTACAACGAAATCCTAGTCTATTGCAAGTAGATTCAAATAGACTCCATACCACCATTCTTCTCATACACCCCAAACCAAGCGTTCTGAGACTCGTTTGACCGGTCCCGCAAGTAAACCTGCGTTAGGAGCTCAGAGGTTGTTCGTGTGAAAATTGTCTACGAACAAATTGGCACACCCGGTGGGACCTGAAGGGTTTGGGTGCATGCGTTTGCGTCGTGGTAAGATAGTGATGCCACGTCCAAAAGAGCTACATGATCGCCTACCGCATCGTTGAAAATTATTTAGTTACGCGTCCACTAAATGCACCAACAAGTAGTGAACTAAATCGAGCAAGCAGAAGAGTTCGAACAAGAAGAGGACAATCAAAGGAACCAAACTAGTAGATGCTCACCACAATTTGCCTCAACGAAACCATCAATTCCTAACCAAGTCCCAATTTTCTCCCAAATAAACTTGATCTGCAGACACCAAATAAATAAATGGTGTGAATCTTCAATGGTATTAAAGCAGAAAACACACACTAATTCATGACAATTTAAAATATTGATTGTTATTTTTTTCAAGCATCATTAAAATAATTAGAATGAAGAAATACTAAAGTAAATAAAAGATAATGGAATGATATTTAAGAAAATTGTGAAAACAAGCAAACAAGACTAATAAACAAAATTATAATACTTTATTTAGTTAAAAATCTTAACAAAAATCTTGAAAAAAGATTAACCATCAAATCCCTCTATTTAATGAATATTAAAATAATGATAAAAAATAATCTAAAAATAAATTCATATTTTAAATCTTTTTTCTTAAATGATGAAGATTTTGGTTCCATAAAAAATAACAAAAAAATTGAAAAGGAGATAATAAAAAAAGTTTTTAAAAATAATTTAAAAAGTGTTTTGGACTGGACCGACGCTTAGACCACCACCAAGCAGGCCTAAGTCCAGGGTGGTTGGGCCCAAGAATATCACGCTGACGAGCAGAATATCCCTGTCGGACACAACATCTCCCCGACGGGCATAGACCAACAGCAGTTGGACAGGACTCTCGCATTCGACCAGTCAGTCTCATTCTTCTCCATCGTCGAGCAGGACCCTCGCATCCGACCAGCCACCTATGGCTGAACGGGGAACTCCTCGGGCCTTCTCGCGCGTTCTCCATGTGTCCCTCACGCAGGGACACGTCATAAGGTAACTATCCACGTTCTGGAGATTTGGTCTTCCTCCTCCCGGATAGGGCGGAACAATTACCCTAGGGCGAAGGAAACGTAATGAATTGGGAAGACTATGCTGTCAAAGAGGCATTGGCCGATCCAAAATTCAGATTTTGGGCTGAGAACAACCGCTTTCCCTGCAATATTTCGTTGCCCGATCCCAACATGTACACTGACAGTGTAGATTGTGATTCAAGTGTTGATTTTGAAGTATCCCAACAGAATGATTCTCAAAGGTGGATTCCAAAGGAGTCTTATGGTGGTGACTTGCATGACAAGTATCAAGCAAGTAACAGTGGGAATAGAAATTGGAGAACATGGGAATAAAATAACGTACGGAGAGAGAATGGCATATCATGGTCTATGAACCCTACATATCAGAATGGTAATAATCAATATGAGATGAATAGAGGAAGAGGAAGTGGGGGGAGAAGGGGAAGAGGAAGAGGGAGAGGAAGAGGAAGAGGAAAGAGCAAAAACTATACTTACGCGCCCTAGCTACTCCTAGTGCATGGTAAATTTCTTGGACGGAAATTAAGTCTTATGGCGCTGCTAAAGGGTCGGTTTTGTTTTACGTAGTTGAGGATATTGGTTTTATTCTCGAGGTGTTATATTTTTGTAACAGTTTAAAATATGTGTCTCTTATATTGAATAAATTTCTTTAACTAATAATTATTGTATCGAGTTAATCCAATAATTTGTATGATTATAATAAAAAGACAAACATTTATAATGATTTAGAGTTTACAATCTATTGAATATATGATAAATATTAATTATATTGTTGGTACTTACAAATTAAATTTTATACAAAAAATTGTTGGTAAAGCACAACCCACAATCCCTTTAGCTAGTGCATTCACCACTATCATCGAACAATTATAGAGTTCGATTTTTCAAAAGGGACAACTTCTCTACTGATTTCAAAAAGTTAATTTTTGCATATTTAATTATTTATTAAATTATATAATATTTTAATGTTTTTAAAACATTTTACAATAAAGATAATCTTACCCAATTTTTTGAATACCTTTTTAATCCGCACAAAAAAATCAAACGCAAACCATCAACAACTCCTAACACTACAAATACCAATTATTTTTTTATAAAATCACACATAATCCCTCTTCATTTGTACTCCTAAGAAGACCACCAGACTTTACACATCCCTTTTTTTATCGCATCATCATCGATGTTCGATCAAACCCATTCATTGTTTAGAGGCATCTTCTTACACTTTGCTCCTTTATTTGTCTAGAGTATACACTCAATTTCATCACAATTGCGACGCGAAAAATATCTGAGCGAGAAAACACTGGAATGACAATAAAGTCACCACTAATTTCTTTTTTAAAAAAAAAACATCGATAAATTTTTTAAAGAACAAAAGTAAGGTCATCAAAACCAAATTTAGTTTCAGGGGTCGATTATGAATGGGGATGTATTAACACCCCGCAACACCCGTTTTAACTAACAGAAACCTTTTAATTAGTTTTTGAAAGAAATGTTTAGCTTAAAATGTTAAGTTTCTTTTAATTATTAAAAATATTTAGAGGAAATAAATAAAAAAGGACTAAAAAAGGTTTTTATTAGAGTACTTGACAAGACGTTGAATTTCATTGTTACATATCTCTTTGTAGCAAAAACTTGTTGGTTGGTTGATTTTAATTGTAAAAAAATGAGTTTAGTCGCACTATAGCGAAAAAAGACTCGTCAATTGGAAAAAAGACTCGCGCTTGGCCGGTAAACATTCGTTTAAGAAATCACTTGGTCTTGCAAGGGAGAAAAAAATAAACTTGATTGGTTTTGGTTGTTTTTATGTGAATGACGCAAGTATTTGAACAAGAAGCAGAGGTAAACTTCTATTCGCTTACATGAGGATAAAATGATGTGCGCCCAATTATTTCTTTTTTAATACTATTTTTATTTATAAAAAAGTTTTAAAAATCGTTATTAGTATGCAGAAGACGAATGCTCGAACTAGAACAAGGCATGAGCCTCGCGTTTGATTATTCGGGAATAAAAGTGTGCACACTCGATTATTCCTTTTTCATCTGATTCTAGCTACATAATTTAAATTTTCATTACTATTAAATAATTTTTATGAAGACGAACACTCGAACTAAAATAAAGTGTACGTCTCGCACTCGATTATTCGAGGATAAAAATGTATACTCCTTACTATTTCTTTTTAATTCATGTTTAATTTATAGAAATTTTAAAGTGTTTAAAACAAAGTGAAAATAAGTTTAAATGTGAAAC